TATGAATTTTATGTTGGAATATCAATTTAATATAATAAAATAAAAAAAACAACTAATTTAAAGTCATCCATAAAAAGAAATAGATCAACAATAACAAATTATGAATAAAAATTGAAAGCTAATTTGAACTAGAGAGCAATACAAACATCTATAAGTAATCCAAATCTAAACAGCTCAGTTGAAATAATATAATTACAAAAAAAATGACAGCATTTCACTTAATTAGCCACATAACCTAAAATTTAGGTTTGATAAGAAAGCTACACTTCATGCCCAAAAACCTCTTACAAGCTCCAAATAAAACATGAAGCAAACAAGTCTGAGATCAATAAAACGAAGAAAACACTCCTCTAACACATGTACTAACGAATTATAAAGTAAACATCCATGAATCCACACATTAACATACTTAATATTTTTCAAATTATACAAATTAAATTGATGAGCAAGCGCAGACAAACAATAAGCAGCAGAATACCTTTAGAGGTCGGCAGTTGCTTTCCTTCCTTCTCGTAGTACTCCCTAATCGAAACCAGCGTCTTACCTCTGAAATCCTGAACTGTAACCCTCCTCTTATTCGACAGCTGCAAGAAATTTAAAGACCCAAAATCAAGAATGTAAACAAATTCATAAGATTTAACACGCGATACCAAGTCACTGACCCTGCACACGATGAGATCGCCTTCATCATCATACTCCTTCGGGCCGCGCCTCCTTCTCCGATCGTCCTCCTCTTCTTCTGCCTCCTCCTCCTCCTCATCCGCAGCAGGGTCCTCCACTTGCTGTTGGTCTTCTAGCGGAGTTTCAGCGGAATCAGAGGGATCCTCCTTGTGCGATGTGAGGAAGGACTCAACTATGCTCCGTACAAAGCGCTTGCGGTCGGGCGGTGAGAGGTCGATTCCAAGCCGATCTGCTGCTAAAGTTCGCACCTTGTACTCGGTCATCTCCTCCATGTTAGCATTCCTGAGTATCTCAAGCACCGCTTCTTCTATCGACCGGTGTGTTTCATGGTCCATGGCTGTCCCGAGCTTTGAGGTAGGGAATAGAGGGCATCCTCCATAAATCTAAAAATTATTCATGTCATGATGTATTTCGGTGGGTCTCACCTAAAATTTTTTATATTTTTTTTTTAAAAAACGGAAATAATCCTGATCGTATTTTTCTGATTTTTCTTTGAATTATTAGAATTATTTTAGTGAAAATCCATTTTTAGTCATTAAAAATTATCTTAAGCTTCAAAATTCAATATCTTTACTTAGAAAATGAGGAAAAATATTTCAATTGTTATTAAGGGAATAGGAAGCAATTTAGAAAATTTCCATGAATTTTATTATTATTGTGATTGTTATCATTTTTTAATTATTTAAATATTTAAAAATAGGCTAAAAATGAAGTTTTCATTTTAATTACCATTTTATTTTTATAAAAGTATTCTGATCACAGAGAACTCCAAAAACCAATTTTTATAATTTTTTGAGTTATATTTTCATTGTTAAAAATCATTTTAATGTTAAAAATGACATTTAACTTAGAAAATCAACTTGGACTATTAAATGAGTTCCAAAGGCCTTGGAATTTTTATGGGGAGTTCTGTGAACTTCAAATAACACTGGAGATTAAAAATCAAGTCATTTAAATGTTTGTGCTTACCAAAACTAATTTTCTTTATTTTTTAAGGTTTGTGAAATTTAGGTGTGTTATTAGTGACAACCCATGAAAGATTTTTCAAAAGGTTCTCTATTCATAGCAAACCTTCCAAAATTTTCTTGGATTTTTCTAAGCAATATGCTTATTTTTATGATTAATTTATGCAAATAATAGGCATAAACTTGAAAAATATGGATTTATGTCTAGGGCTCTCCTCTGACTTTGGAAATTGGAAAAATCAGGGAATGTTCCCTAAGACAGAGACAACAACATGTCAAAATTTCAAGCCATGGTGAAATGTCTACATGCATGGAGAATCAAAAGACTTAAAACACTATTTAATTAATTAAAAATAAAATATGCATCAAATAATTCCCAAACCATTTCCACATCGTTTTTTATATATTCACTGAGCAGGAAGGTATTTTTATTTTATATTTATAATTTTTCTACACTAAGATATGAATTTTTGAAGTTAGGGATCTTTTTCTGATTTATTTAATTCCCTATTTTTCTATTAAACGCGCGACGCCTCGTCAACCTACGGCGGCTCCGAAGTTCCACGCGGTGCGCTCCCATTCGACGTTGTCATCCACCTCAGTACTGACTCAACCCGCGGTTCACGTATGAAGGAGTTGTCCGGCTAAATATCGTCCGCTGATGAGATAAACGCGCGATCAGACGGCTCCCCGTTATCGTCCCCGATGGTCTAGCCCGAGAATCGTCCACTTTCAAAGCTTGGTGTCTCTCTCATTTCTTAACCAAATTGAATGAATTTTTTTTAAAATGCTCATCTTGATTAGTAAAACATATTTATACTGTTAATATGCCATGAAATCAACTTCAAACAAATGAAGAGTGAAAATAGGCTCGAGAAGA